CTCTAACATGAAGACAGTATCATTTGACTCTTATATTGTATTTCGGCTCTGTTTCGTGATATTCTGTTTATTATCGGCTCGGTCCACACAGCGCATCACTTTACGGCAACTTGTTTCGGCACGTCATCTCCAGGTAATTTTTAGTATCCCGTGTGTACGCAGTATGCCGCTTTCTGTCGCATTAGATGGACTGGAAGTCCATGTTGAAGTAAAAAGGCAATATTGATTAAGAGGAAAATATGTAATAATAATAATAAAATGGAAATACATAAATTATATTTGTCTTATGACTTCCACCATGATGACAATCTGATTTCAGGGTTTTACTCTAAGACATCACTAAGAATAAAAGTTCTTAGTTCATACACAGTGGTTCTACATAGAAAGAAAGACATACATAAGTTCACACAATATTATGAAACTACATAAGATGCTATTAGTGAGCTCGCCATCGCTACGCGACCCATAATATCGGATCATTTTGAAATGTCACAAACACACAACAGCAATGTTTTAACCTACTACCATCTTGGATGATATCGTATCATACGTCGTCTCTAAATGCCAGACCCTGGTCATGATCGCATAAACACACGTGACAGAAATATATCAGCGATGAATTTATTCCAAGTGAAATCCATGTCACGTGGTGATCTTACTTAAATAAAGTTAAAATTAATTAATGCATCTAAAACAAGTTAACTTGTATGAAGGATCCATACAGATTTAAAATTTGGTCTTTCAAACAACTTTTTGTTTCACAATTTTATTCTAAAGAATGGCAAAACTAAATTTTTAAAATTATAAAACTTCAAAAATTAAATGACTGTCTACAGACTTTAAATAACCAACTGCAGAAGAAGTAATGACCCAGAAATATATCATGTAATTACTTAATAATAAATCTCATTTAAGGGTAAAGAAAGAAATGCAAATTTAGTATTTTATCAGAGGAAAAACAGTCAATAGGACTCCGTGATTTCATCGCGTAAAATAGAATCTAATATTATTCGCATTTCGATCATCACAAATATTTCACAAACCAGATAGACGTGAAAACCGGCGTTATGGGAATCTTTGAGGGAGAGGCAAATAATTCACGTGAAAGCAAATGCATTGCTTACGCTGCCCTGCGGGAGCAATTAATGATAAATTATCGGTCTGTGTGCTCGTGACAGAGAACTTCTAACAAACATTCAGTCTCCATAGTTGTAGCTTACGTGCAATATGCGTCAAGTCACAAGAACTTACGTTGGCCACTAGAGAAACGGTCGTTCAACAGGGCAGCCTTCTTGAAGATTGCTTTCTTCTGGGCTTCATCAAATCTGTTGGCCTGCAGGTCAACGCTGCGATCGAACGGCCGCCTCTCTTCGTGCTTGCCCCCCTTCTATAAAATTAACATAAAGACTTATTCAGTTTCAAAAGCTAGTCTAATTGACGTGGATCGCACCTCCCTCTAACTCCTCCGTCAATTAACTGCAGTACCCAGTTTACCTTTATCTTCTTCAGTTCCTTCTGATGCGCCTCCAATAGGGACTCTTGTCTCTTCTTTCCAGAGTGTTTCTCTACGAGATGTTGCATCTCCTTGTCTCGCTCTTCAACTGCTGCCAGTTCCAGCTTATCGACAGGACCAGACTTCTCCCGCTAGAAATAAAAGATTTATTTGAAAAATTTGTTGTCATAAAGACTATAACTCTTTTAAGCCAAAGTTCATTAAATAATATTTAAGAATTCAGTTCTTACTTCATACAAAACTCATCTCCATCACAAAGATCAATTTGATAGTGATGTTTATTTTAAAGGGTTAGTCCTAGTGGATTTGCATTCTTCTGGGTTACGATGACACGTAGTCTTGAGGGTGATTCTCTCAAAATTCTGGTACTGCCTACAAGACTACATGTCACCTAACCTAGATTACCACATTCCAAATGTTCACTACCATAAAAACCTAACATTTTATTTAAACCCACTCTTTCAATGTTTGCCATCACTTAATTTTTTCACACATTCAATGAATGAAATAAAGACATTTTAATAAACTAAACCATTACATACATCAACATTGGCACTTAGTAAATTAGCAAATCTAGTGTTAGAAAATGACCATCGTAGCTTCATGGCACATGGAGAATGAAAACGTGGTTAATATTCCATATTATAATGCGTGCACATCACTCTGAGACATTCTGTTTAACACGGTCTCCCACGTGACTCATTTCTGTAAAAATTCCTATCAAAAATTCTGTAAGCATTTCTTGTCCTCTCACATATATGACACATCTGGCTCATCTGAACTTGTTTTAAATTCCCCAACAAATAAAAAAAACACAAACAATTAGGAACCTTCTTATGTAACTTGTGTTTTACACGTTACATCTTCTTGCATCCAATTATTCTCCTCGGCACTTCGCATATGAATCTGTTTTTCTTAGTGGGAGGTCAATTTTTTCTCCCACGTAAACAAACCATTCAGTGTAAAGATTACTAAAATTATAAAGAGCTGGAACAAAAATTTTCAATAATTCTCCTGTAAATCTCTTGTTAAAGAAGGCTCTTGATCCTGTTTCCTACAGAACTCTCATTAAACTACAGCGGTAACCTCAATATACTCCGCTAATGGCAATTTAACGAGCCAAGTGAGTGGCCTTAAGCAAGCATAACGCACTCAAGATACCATGTCCTGTAAGTCTCCAAATATTTCTTTATTATAGTTTTAACACCAATGTTAATCTAATCCAGTCAACTACCATTTCTGACTAAACACGCAGCAGACATATTTTTACATATCATATACGCGGCTAGAAAATTTAAACCTTATAGTGATATTACGTCATGCAGATTTAAAACTCGACGAGTAATGCCCTTCCGTAATTCACAGAAAGCAACATACTGGTGTGTGTTTCTTCTGAAGACGATCGGCAGGTGTGTCCGTCCATACAGAACGATCACCTGATTCTGGCTTAGCCCTTGCTCGGAACTGTCTCGGCCCCAAACCGAAGCTAGCTGCTCGATCAGGTGGTAACTCCAACATCCAACTCTCACGTTTCACTGGTCCACAGTCATGATTCCCATCCTGGTAAACACATTGTAAATTGGCGTGCTTACAATAGTGTCAGCTCAGCTGTTCAGTCTTGCCGTCGCCACAACCAGCCGAAACTTCCGCCACTACTGTGGTTTCAACATTCAGTCCCTGTTGGGGTGTAACATATTCTTGTACTTAGTGGTGAGAAGAACATCTATATCACAAGAGTTCCACTCACCACGAGAACATTTTACATCCCAAAAAAAAAAAAAAAAAAAAAAAAAGGAGACTAAAGCAACAGGAAACGTCCAACATGAATATAACAATGCCTATCAAGTGTAACTTAGTTTTATGATTAAAAACAGGTTCTGAAGAATTTTAATTTACAGTGTATATTAATTGTAAACTGAAAAGGATATTAATAAAATATGCAAACTTAATATAGACCTACAACTTAACATGTAACTAAATTACAGGAAACATTCTCAAAAAAAAAAAAAAAAAAAATTAAAAAATAATCATCATCATAAGGTGGCAACTGACTTGTAACATTTACTCGTAATGTAACATTCACGGCGAGCATGTTACATTACACCACAACTGATGAGGCGTATCGAATGCTCGTTTTGAACGCTCGGCTCGACTGTGCTC